TATGTTGAGACTCTTTCTGAAAAGTAAAAGCAATTTATTTAACTTTATATGCAAATGAATGTTGTTAGGTATTCAACAAAAAATGTTTTTTTTTTAGATGATTATAAATTGTACATTTAAAAACCTGGAACATAATCTCTTCAGGCCAGGACGTTTCTGTTCTTTTAAATGTTTAAGTTTAATAATCGGGACATAAGAAGAACAATAGTTTGTTTTGTAAATGTTTATATAGTAGCCTGTGTCTGTAAAATTATGAAGACGGGATTTTTTTAGGCGACAAAATCAGCTTTGAAAGTGCTCAGATTGACTGAATAATAATAAACTAGTTTGAGCAGCACACTGCACATGTTACCACCATTATATAAATCTTTATAGAAACTACAGCAAAAAAACTCAAGATGATGTGAAATTTTGAAGATTGAAATTATTTTAAAATGTCAGCATTAGTTTTGCTCTTTGCATTCTGACTAGCTTTTAKCTTGTCAGTCTTTTACACTTAAACTCTATTTCTCCAATCTGAGATGGTCCAAAAGCCATCTACAGCAGGTAAGATATTAACTGTTTCCTCAAAACACCGCTTCTTAAAGGCCAAAATGTCCCTATATAGGATTTTTAAATTTCCTAATGCCATTACTACAACAGCAAAATAAGYTTACATACAAACACACACACAMAAAATAAATAAATTTGTGCTTGGTAGATGATTTCTTTATTGTAGCAATGCTTCTTGGCTTATATGGGGCACTTGATTGGCAGTACTTGGGGCTACCAGAAGTTCAAAACAAGCAAAAGCGAAATAAACTGTTTGACAGAGATTTGRCAACTTTTTCATGTGCACAACCCACACACTCAGCTCTACTGCTCATCCCACAATTGCATGTTCCTTACAAATGTGGCACCACTTAAAAGGGAAATTAACAGACTTTCCAACAGTATAAGATTTACTGCCAAGAAGCATTGTTGCAACAAAAAAATCACACATTTCATTACTTTTTTAAGTTTATGTTTATCAGACTTTCCTAATATGCAGTCCAGTTACAACTTATATATGTAATTTTGTTTTTCTTAATCTGCAGACGTACATGAGGGCTCAGTTTGATTATGACCCCACCAAAGATGAGCTCATCCCGTGCAAAGAGGCCGGCCTGAAGTTTCAAACCGGTGACATCATCCACATCATCAACAAGCAGGATCCCAACTGGTGGCAGGGCCGAGTGGAGAGCAGCGCTGTTGACTTCGCCGGGCTCATCCCCTCCCCAGAGCTCCAAGAATGGTGGGCAGCGCACGTCGTATCTGATGCTGAGCACTTCGAAGTGAACTGGCTCATTGTCAAAATCTGCAGAATTCCTGTGCAATATTTTATTAAAAGTCTTTTTTTCACAGGAGGGTGGCCAGTAAAAGCAAGGCCAAGGAGGGCACTCAGTCCTGCAGCCCGTTTGGAAAGAAAAAGAAATGCAAAGACAAATATCTGGCTAAACACAGCTCCAGTGAGTGTTTTATTGGAACTGCTGTTCTTAGCTTAGTCTCTAGTGCAAGTTTATCCTAACTCTAAGCATGACTTTGCAGTTTTTGACCAGCTGGATGTGATTTCCTATGAAGAAGTTGTGACACTTCCTGCTTTTAAGAGGAAAACTCTGGTGCTTATCGGTAAGCTTTACGACTCAGAAACTTCAGCATACATGTGGGTTATTTCTGCAGCTTATCTTCAATCRTCAGTAGAGTTCATTTATTTAGTCCTTGAAGTCGATTTATTTTGAAAATTTGTTTCTTCTCAGGTGCACCTGGTGTTGGAAGGAGCCACATCAAAAATGCCCTGCTGACAAAATACCCCGAGAAATTTTCCTACCCTGCACCTCGTAAGTAAACCTTTGGTGTTGGTCTTCTGTTCACTTTGCAAATTCTTCTTCTTATTTTTTCCACTTTTTCAATTTGCGAAGACACAACCCGACCCCAACGGAAGGACGAGGAGAACGGACAGGAGTATTTTTTCATCACAAACGAAGACATGACCAAGTCCATCTCTAAAAACGAGCTGCTGGAGTATGGCAGCTTCCAGGGATACATGTTTGGTACCAAGTTTGAGACCATCCAGAAGATCCACGATCAGGGCAAAGTTGCCGTTCTGGACGTAGAACCACAGGTCAGCACCGACAAATGGTTTTGGAATACAAAAATAAACTTTTTTTACCATTATCACACTGATGTTACAACTTTACTCTACCCAGGACCAGAAGGGGTTTGAGGATGCCTTTAAAATGAATCAAATAAGCACTCCTGTTAAAGATGTTATTTTTGTTACCAACTATAGCTGCTATAGCTCTGCTTTTTTTTTTCAAACGGAAGAGCATTGTGGAACATTTAGGCTAACTTTTCATATTTTGCGGTGAAAAAAAAAAGGTTTTGAGACTGAGCAGGTGGAGCCAACCCATTCTCACTCCCAAGTTGTCACATATTGACGCTTTTCCAAGGTTGCCTCTGCGTCCGGTTTTGACACGTTGGGGACCCCCCTCGCGTCTSTTATTGACGAGATGGGGCGGAATCCGTTGTCATAATTTCAGAAAGTGTAGAAAATACACAAAATTTAACCATCCCAAAGCCTACAATTACCTTTATTCACTCTAGACGTCCTGTCCCTGACTCTAGTACTTAAAATTAACCTTTTATAGAAACTGTAGGAAATTCACGTGAACTGCGTGTTCCAAAGCCTAAAATTACCTAATATTCACCCTAGACATCCTATCCCTGACCCCACTACCTAAAATTAACCACGAACCCTGATGCCTAATATTAACCACGGACCCCAACTCAAAGACCCCTATATTTTGCATCCCAACGCGTCAAACCCGGATGCCGAGAGAACACGGAAATGCGTGGTGTGTCAAAAACTGACGTGAAGGGGGTAACYGACGTGTCAAAATAAGATGYAGAGGGAACCTTGGAAAAGCGTCAGTATGTGACGAGTCGGGAGTGAGAGTGTGTTAGTGGTGCAGATATCCATAAACTGAAGATGACAGTTCAGTTCTCTGCTCTCGTTAGTCTGTTCACCAACAGGGCTTAAGGGTAAGAAACCAGTTCCAACAAACGCCACCTGTGTTTAGATGTCTGTAGGAGGATTGTGGTTTGTGTGTAAAATGAAACAGTGCGGTTCAGTTGACTGTCATAAAAAAATTGTCTACAGAATTACAAACACAAAATCCTTCATAGGACGTAACACCTCCTTCGTAGCTGTAGCTATTAATCTTATTGTCTAAAGTTTGTGTTGGAATGGTCTTAAAGTCTTATTTGACTGAACAACACTTCTTGCAGATCTTGAAACTGGTGCGGACAGCTGACTTCGCTCCTCTGGTGGTCTTCATCGCTCCCACCAACAACGCTCCACAGGTGCTTCRCCCACACGCGGTAAACCTTTTTGTTGCCTCACGACCCCACCGGCCAGCAGCGGCTAACCTCCTTGTTCCTTCTCCCGCTTTCTCGTAGACCGAAAACCTTCAGACGATCCAGAAAGAGTCCGACGCCATCCTGAGCACCTACAGACACTTTTTCGATGTGGTCCTYGTCAACAACGACGTGGACGAGAGCGTCAAAGGGGTGGAGGAGGCCATGGAGCACGCCATCTCCACCCCCCAGTGGGTGCCGGTCTCATGGGTCTACTGAAGGACCCCCACCTCTGCACCCCCGTTGATCCTTTACTGTTTGTTGAAAAGCAGTGCAATACCACTCCTCACACCAAACCTCCAGTGTTAGCGATGTCCTGGGTGTTTTCTATTGGAATGCATTGTTGTCACAGAGATTATTTTGCACTAATGCAGTAAAAATAAGCAATATGTTGATCTCAGAAGCTCACCAGGGATGTTTCATCTGGTTGTTTTAGACATTTGTGCTTTGTGATTTAGAGGTGGGTGGCATGCCTTTTGAGATTGATGCAAAACAGGACCACGACTGTGAATGAAATTACCAAACTGTGTCCCGTGAAGACGACGATGATTCGTTTTCTGTCACCACTCCTCGTTAGATCCCRAGATTCTTTGCTCGTCCTGCCTGTGTAACGTCTTACAACATCCTCCACAAAACCCTTCAGCCAACCACTGACAACCTCGCCCATTTTTACACTGGATTAGATCAAAATTGTATACCTCATGGGGTACTGTAAAGGCACTTTTCAACAWCAACAAAACAATAAAACCAATAAAAAGGCATAGCTCTGTTGCAACTTTCTTTGTCAGTTTTGTTTTTCTCATGTGTGAAGGATTGCTCCTCATCCTTAGCTTGGTGTTTGCAGTTTGTGGTTGCTATCTCTGGAGAGAGCTCCCTCTAGTGGACAAAAAAAGTTTGAATCACAAATATCATCCACATACAATACTAATCTCATCCTATTTATTGTCCTTGATTTAAAGTGACACCTCCTACAGAGATTGAACTTGTCCTGGATGACAGAGAAACTCGTCCCTCTCTGCTCCTCATCGTCCCTCACCAGCTGAGCATGGTCTTGTCTCCTGTGGTCCATCACAAAAACAAGCCCGAGTGGCAACGTCTAAAATCTAGTTTCACAATGTTTTAGGCCTTCAAACCTCTCTGCAGCCTACTGTGTCACATGAGAATAAAAGCCCACGTTGCCAAGACCCTGCACAGATCACGAGTTAGCAACAGCTTCTCCTCCTTCCTTCAGGAACCATCAGTACCACCTTCCACCTCTGAGTGTCTGATCCACACCCCGGTGCTGATTCTGAGTAAACAAAGCATTAGGCTGAATATTAAACAGGTGCTGACAGGTTCTGTTCAGTCAGAGTGACCAGCTGCACAATTATTTTCACTCAGTTTTAGTGACAGATTTATTGGTGACACTCAGAAAATGTTTAGGTTATATTCTATTTRTTCTCCTGCAGCGAGTTAATCCATGTTTATTATTCATGATATACGGCTCATTTTCAGAAATATCGTCATAACGACATGCGAAAATAATCTGATGAAATCATCCTGGACCCCATGTTAATCATCTGAAGAGCAGCCGTGCATATTCATGGTGGGCTTCAGGCCCTCAGAACCCTTTCAGACGTGTTGTTAATATGCAGCAGACGCTCTCATGTCTTCTGTATGCGGTACAAGGATGCAGTCACAGTCCTCTTCTAATTTCCACCGCTGGAACCCGCTGCAGTAACCATGGAAACTACCGGAGGATGCGGAGGCCGGCCTACCAAGTTGTCGTGGTAACTGAGTGAATGAGATGATTCCAGATGAATGTAATCCCCCTCCGTTCCCCCCACCGTCACATTATTCAGGGCCATCGTTTTAATGGGTTTGGTAACGTTACAATCCTGTACACAGAGTCCACGAAAACATCATCGATTTTAGAAGACTACGTTTATTTTGTTTAGTCAAACAGCAGAAATACAGAAAAAAAAACAAAGTGGAGCACTGGTTTCTGATGTTCTCCAATAAACTGTGCTACACAAACAGCAGCTTGATACAGAAACTATCAACTAGCCTACTGCGTTCTCGCACGGTAATAATATTGAAGTGACTCTGCTAACAGGTGTGGTTAGCTTTGAAGGCCAGGTGAGTATACAACAAATGCTTTTAGTTCATTTAGTAAAGCTATTGGTTGTTTTACTGATTTTGTTTTTAAAGAGCTCCACCACATTGTGAGCAGTCAGTATCTTACATGTTGCAGATAGCCCTTTAAACAACATCAGTGAGGGGAACAAAGCAGAAGGCTAGACCRTCCAAATTCACAGCCACTTTCTTCTGATCTTCAGGGTCGACAAAGAATCCGACCCACCTAGACCACCAGCCATCTTTTGTGGGGAGAATGAATCAGCCATTCTCCCTCTTATCTTGGGCGGCAGTGGCGGATTGGTTAGGGGAGTCATCCTGGAACCGGAAGGTCGCTGGTTCAATCCCCCGTCCAGCCGTCTCAGTCGTTGTGTCCTTGGGCAAGACACTTCACCCACCTTGCCTACTAGTGGTGGTCAGAGGGTCCGGTGCCGCCGGTGCATGGCAGCCCCACCTCTRTCAGTGTGCCCCAGGGCAGCTGTGGCTACAGTGTAGTTTGCCATCATCAGTGTGAATGTGAGTGTGAATGGGTGAATGTCTGTTAGTGTAAAGTGCTTTGGGGTCCAGAGGGGCTTAAAAAGTGCTCTATAAGTTCAGTACCATTTACCTTCAGGACGGAGACACAGACTGCAATACTGTGAGACAAACAGACTGAAAAAATCTTTTTTTCCAGCTGCAATTGGCCTGATCAATTGCGTTTTCCTTCTTTTGTCACTGCTGTCTGCACAACAAATTGCCCCTCGGGGATAATAAAGTTTACTTGACTTGACGGGTAGACMGGGCCCTTTGAAGGACGCAGACCCTGAATTTGGACACAGCTTAAATTGTGACAAAAATATTTGCACATCATCCACAGGAACTGTATGCAAGCCCCCTTTCAAGTGTCAAGTTAAACAGTTCTTTTTCCAAAGGCTAGTCAGGCAAGAATTGGATGATCATATTTATTATTAGTATTTTATTTTGTCTTTTTATAACTGATGTTATTTGTGTATAAGTGATTTTATGTGGTGACTGTGTGTTGGACCACAATGGAAATAAGCTTTAGGCTTCATTGTGTTATCCATTTCTGTTAATGTTATTGTGTATTATATGCAGTGCCATTTACATGATAAATAAAAWGAWTGAAAGGAATGTTGCGTGAATGGTACATGCATACATATGACATAATGTGTTATGTTTTGGACTAGGAGAAGAACCCAAATCCGGACAGAGATAAGAGTTTTAAATAGAAAAAAAATATTTTACAAAAATAAAACAAAAGGCTGTCAAGGCAGCAATAAACTAGAAAACAAGACCAACAAGGGAGAAACATAACAGTTGGGTGAAACCAAACAATGTGGAGTGAAAGACCAGTATATATACAAACAGAGGGAATGAGGAAATGATGAACACCTGGTGGCAGGACTGATTAGGGATGACTGAGCAGGTGAGGATGATAAACTAATAATTGACTAGGAAAATAGACCGAGGATAACTGGAGAGTGGAAACACAAAAATAACAAAATGCACATCCTCACATAATGTGGCTTAAAGGTGAAAACTAGATTTTGTGTGGACGGTTTCGGAAGTTGTGACGCTGTGGTTTAGTTCAATTTTCCAACACTTTGGCGGCAGCTTCACAACAGCTCATCCCCTCCTCCCCCCTCCCCACTCCTCGCCTTGTAAGCCATTCTGGGTCAGAGCTTCCAGCGAAGGAATTAATATAATTTAATCTCCACCTGGCCTTTATCGTTGGCCCGAAGGAAGAGTGAGCCAAAGCAGCGCAGCATGCTGCTCATCACCAGGGGAGTTGACTCCCTGCTCTGCTGCTGCTGCCTTCCTAATAAAGGTAGCTTCACCTTTTGTCGTCGTGGCTCACGCGGCGTAACGCTGACAGAGAGGGATTGAATCAGATGATTAATTGTCTGTAATTACCAGAAGCTGACAAAAATGATTAAGAATGTGAAAAATGTTGATCAGGGGTGACTGAAAGTGTGGGACCATGTGGGAGGTTGGGGGGGGGGGGGTAGCTCATTATCTTGAAGACACTTGTAGGCTGGGAGGTGAGACGACCTCGGTGTCTTCAGACTGTCTGATCCAAACAACATGTGTTGGCAGCTGCTCGCTTGGCCAGAACTCGTGCTCCKACACGACAGGAGGCCGCTCTTAAAATAAACGTAAGAGTCGTGACTCATGAGCAGCTGAAAGGAGGGCCAGAGCTGTTTATTTTTTCTTCCCTCCTCATCAAACCTGATGAGAGCAGAACAGATGAATGAACAGAATCAATAAAACGGATCCATTTTAGAGAAATTCGYAATGATCCTAATCAAAAAATAGCCTGTATGAACAGAGAGAAATAATTATGTTCTAAATATTTCAAGAGAAAGAAAGGTCTGACATTTTGAAAACTTTATAATGTTAATTTTTGAGTGAAACTGTGAGGATGCACTAAAAAAGCAAAAGCTGTCACACAGACTCAGTGTATTTACTCTAAATCAGTAGAGTCAAACTCATTTTCTCTGAGGGCCACATGAGCATTATAACTTTAACAACAAACACATGACTCATCCCATCACTACAGCTGAGCACCACTAACAAACAATAACTGAGCTCTACATGGTATTTCCTGCATAGAAACATTGTTTTAACACATCCTCTTATAAACACTGAAAAGTACTACATGCACGACTGACTAAATGTGAAATAAGTAATATGGAAATACCATTAAAAGTATTTCTTTCCCACTTTCCAACAAGGGATTCCCACTGTTTAAATTTATGACTTGTAAGTGGGAATTTCCCACTTCCCATTACAACTAGGCTTTAGCAAAAGTAGCTGGCGAAAATGCAACGAAATGGAGATGATATGAATTTTCAGAACCAAGTGTTGGGATGGAGTCATTTTGTGGGTAAAATAATCAACATGCTTTATGGGAGATGTAGATTATAGCCAGTGCTGGCTTTAAAGCAGCACACATGTATTTATTTTATGACATCTTTGTGCTCTCAAAGGCCACATAAAAGGCTGTGGCGGGCCATACTTGGCCCCTGGGCCTTGAGTTTGACATGTTCTTTAAACCGCTTCATGTTAAACTTTCCTTYAAGATCATATAGGATRTTTTTCATAAATAGCTGAAACCACAAATCTGCTTTTTGAGCTTGTTTGGGTAGTGTTTTTGTTGAGAGTTTACATTGTTATACTAACTGGACCAAAGTCTAACTAACTTCTGGATCAGTTAGTGGGTAGGCCCTTAAGTAATGCAATTTTTTTAAATATATCATGGTTTGCTCAGTTCATTTATGTGTATAAGAAGAATAAAAATTTAAATGAACTGAAAGACTAAACAAGTATGAAAGCAGGAATTGTATTTTATCAGWAAACGAATACAATTATATAAATTGAAATCATGTTAAAAATAAAGTCACAAGTTACAAAATCATATTTTTATAAATAAAAATAAATAAATAGCACTTTCTATTATAAAGCACCATCCATCCATCCATCCATCCATCCATCATCCATCCATCCATCCATTAGCTATACCCATTTCTTCCTTTCAGGGCCATGGGGGTCACTGGTGCCCATTCCCAGCAGTCACAGTACGAGGGGCGGGGTACACCCTGGACAGGTCACAAGTCCATCCCAGGGCCACACACGGAGACAAACGAGACAAACAATCAT